AAAAAAAAAAAAAAAAAAAAAAAACCGAACAAAATAAACTTTCATCAGCAGATCTGACAGAAGATTTGCACCCTATTGGCGCCTGCAGAGGCTTTCTTACATCTGGAGCTAAGGCCGTGCAGAGTACGTACGTTTACCGCAAAACGAACATTTGTAATCTGGTTGGACATAGATTAGGCAGTTCACCCTCGGCAGGGGCCCAAGCCCTTGTATAAAAAAAAAAAAAAAAAAAAAAAAAAAAAGAAAGCAGAAGATTAGGAAGTTCAAAGACGCCTTACTTGTCCCAGGCTGTAGGCTGCAGTCCAAAAATTGAGGCTCCTATCAACCCCTGTTTTCCAAGAAAAGGGGTTCTAGCCCCTCACATGCTTGTATCCAAAAATCACACAGGTGTACAAAAATTCAGCCACCTGCCAGGTACTCCATCAACACCATAACAGTAGTAAGCCTTCAGCGCCCCCCACCCCACCCCCACCACTTGGGAGCCAAATGAGCACAAAATTTAACAAATGAAATAGAAGGATTGTTATCGAGTTCCGTAGTTTGGCTTCACCAAACGAATGCAGACCTAAATTAAACTTAGCTAATCGAATTTGAAAACAGGAAATTCCAATGAAAAGAATCCATAAAAATTTGCAGAGAAGTTTTTCTAGCGTGTTTGCTTAACAGTTAAAACCCTGTCAGCACCCGAAACAAAATGATGGGCCTGTCAAATTATTCAATAAATATCAATTTAATTCCCACAAGAAATGGGAATTTACTAGCTTGCTCCTCTTTACGCAGAGCGACTATATACATCACTTGTGGAAAAAATCAACTAGAGACAATCTAATCCCGCTAAAGGTCCAAATTCTGTCCCTGCTGCCACATTTTACGAACATTCCCTCTCATACCCCCTCACGAAACCCCCCACCCTACCCTCTCTGTCTCTGTCTGTCAGTCAGTCAGTCAGTCAGTCAGCCAGTCACTCTCTCTCTCTCTCTCTCTCTCTCTCTCTCTCTCTCTCTCTCTCTCTCTCTCTCTCTCTCTCTCTCTCTCTCTCTCTCCCCACCCACCCACACACCCACACCCACACACACACAAACACACACAAGTGCTCGCCTTCTCCCCCTTCCCTTCTCTGTTGATCTATCTGTGTGCATTTCGCATTTGAGACACTGGCATTGTTGATTGCTCCAGTGTCCTTTGATCTCATGCAAACTGCGTTTGCTTAGGACGAGGTCCAGACCTGCCAAAATCACTTTTTGCGTAATCCCACTTATTCTTATCATTTCCACAGGATACGGGTTCTCCTCAACAATCCCACATGCATGGCTGTTGAAGCTTATAACCCCGGTCATTTTGAAGGAGTCGCCGATGACCACATAACACACCTTTCCTTGTGAGGAGAAAGTTTGGAAATAATGGTGACGTACCTGGACCAATAATTCCGGGGATGGCAGCTTGTGGAACCAGACAATGGAAAGACTTGTGACCCAAGTTCAAGGATTGGAGGCATCTGTGGCACAGCCACAGGCACCCTTAGTGGATCAACCCAGAGCTGACAGCAAATCAAGGCAATCTCCGAACGATGTACAACACTGGCCGATGGGATCCAAAATATCGCCACAATCGCCACAACCATCACAACCCCCACTGACCCCACATTCCCCACAATCAACACAGCCATCACAGCCACCAAAGTCGCAACAGCCAACACCATCACCGCCAAAACCGGTCCCGACATCACCCAAGGCCGATAAGCCATCGAGAACAGGTGCATTGTTCATTGTCAACATAACAGAGCCAAAGCCAATCGCCAATCCCGCGACCACTGCTATTGCTGCGTACTTTGTGACAGCATACTTCTTCGGGTTCGCCTGCTTTCCTGCTTTCAAGTCCGCCTTCAACTCCTGGTGCTTTTCCGGAGTTGTCTCGAAACCCACCATGACTGTGTGCTCACAAGGAACCCCCTCCTTAACGCTGATATCAACCACTTGCGCGCGTAGTTTGCTGTCGTCATGAAGCCAAGCCCTTGCAGTTAGCAGATCCATCTGCTGCTTCACAAACACCCTGTTCAGGGGTATCTGCGGCACGCGGTTGGATGTCACCTTCGAGGACCACTGCGACCCGTCAGGGTTGCTGCCAACAACCTCAACGAAAGGCGGAAATGTACCATGAAACTTCCCTGAGATGACAAGGGGGTTTCCACAAAAGAGATCAGGAACGGGAAAGGGGTAAATCTCACATCCATGTGGCAGATCAGGAATCGAGAGTTGGAGATTTGTGAGGAGTGGTGTCGAGGCTGCGAGGAGAAGCCTCTCCATCTGTTCCTTCACCTTGTCCTGGGTGAACGCCGCATCCGCAATTCCTCGGCCAATCACCGCAAGCATCCGCAGGAAGAAGTAGTTGCAGTAGTGACCTATTCCGAATGTGGAGATCCTGGGAGCTGAACCCCCACGGGCCGATGCCACAGAGTGCATCTCCTTACAGATTTCCCTCTCATCTGATACAGCTCCATCGGTGATGAGGAAGACATACGGCACTCCTCCCACTGCAGAGTCGAGCATTGCAATGGCTTGCCTTAGAGGTGCCAGGATGTCTGTGCCCCCACGTGCCTGACAAGTTGAGTCTATCCAGTCTTTCGCCATTTGAACCTTTGCAGGGTGTGCACTTTCTAGTGCTGGGGAGAATGCCATCTGTTCATGATCAAACGCTATCACTGAGAACTTATCCTCAGGTTTCAAAAGGTCAAGAGCGAGTTTCAACGAATGGCGTGCATCCTCGACGGGACGCCCATACATGCTCCCGCTGCGGTCGAGGAGAAACACGACAGAGCGCATGAAGAGGGTGACACTCCTTGGGTCTGGTGGAGACAGAGACAGACAGAAAGTACCTCTGCCATCGAGATCCCCTGGTTGCGAGTCTTGCACTATAAGCGCCGGTAAGATTCCCTGTGACCAGACCTGATACGACCCGACGAAGTCAACATTTCTCCAGTCATGCATGGAATGAGAGTCCCACTCAAGTTCCACTCGTCCCTCACCCCTCTTTCGCTCCCTCATCATGTGGTTGAATGCCCCAGTCACAACCGGGCCACCGGAGCCTACGTTTATAGTGCAACCAATCTTACCGACCACGTGTTTGTTCCTCGCTCTAGCCAGCTGTGCGTTTGGGATGATAAAAGGGATGTGTACGTTGTAGAAGCCGTTCGCAAACAAAAGGGGCTGAAACCAGGAGACTCGCACGGAGAGCTTTGAGCCGCCAAAAACTTGGCCAACTGTGAGTCTGAAGAGCTCTGGGTTGTAAGACCCCACCTCCTCAAGACCTGCATTTACACTCCCTCCAGCACCATAGCTAGCGGCTTCATCCTTGGGGATAACGAGTGTTGTGTACATCCGTCCTTCGCCCATGTCAATTTCAATTTGCGTCATTGTACCATGGTGACTCATGGGAACCGCAAGAACACAGTCACAACGAAGCCCTTTGACGACGAAGTCGAGCTCCCACTCACCTTCAACAGTGACAAATGCGGTGCTGATATGGCATTGAACATCAAGGTTCATCTGATTCACATGCAAAGGAACGAGAGATGGCACGGATGGGGGCGGGAGATGACTGCCACCCAGAGGTTGTGTGTCCTCGTGACGGTCTTGCGCCCACCGCGGATTTCCAAGCAATTTGAAGTCATTGATGAAGGCATACACAGTCGGGCAACTCGGCAACACTTTCTCAGCGGCATTTTCTCCGCTGGGAACCGGAGGTTTCATCGAGATAACCTGTGAAGCTGGTGGCATTTGGTAGGGAACACTCATTGAAGTGGTGCCCCCCACACCTCGAGTGCTCGCAGTTGCATTTTCAATGTGCTGTTGCAACACCTGTCCTGTGCTCAAAGCATTTGCGAAGCTTGAATTACGCTGTGCTGCTTGCGCCATTATATCCTATCTCTAAAGTCCTCCTGCTGCAGCTACTTTCCTTTGACTGTAATTGCCTTATGAGACAGACAGAGGAGAGAGACAGAGAGGTAAGTGAACCGTGACTCAACCCTAAGGAAAGAGAAGCCGTCCCAGTGCATGTGAATTGCGACAGCTGCACACACTTTGCAGACCTCTCTACCTTTGATGAAAACACAGGGGTGAACTTGATCATTCAGACAGCTTTCCCAAATCCGAGTGCTGCGCCTCTGTGCTAGATGTTTGCAACCACACCACTGAAACAGCATGAACCCGCATACGACAATGCCACGAGTTCATTGGACACTGGCATTGAAACCCGCTCAGTACCCCAGCATTTGTCTTCGCCATTCAGTCAGAGATTGCATGAGCGCGACATTGTCTCCTTTTGCAGGAAGAACAAGTTCCACTAACTTGCACTTTAACCACTGGCAACTGTATGCAGTACTATGCACTTAGAAGCGAGCACTGCCAATAGGTGTGCGGAAATGAATCCGATGCGCTGCCAAGATCACAGAAGAGCTATTCGACGAGATGGTTGTGTCAGCAACAACAGAACCTGGCATTGCAGAAGCCTGCATGGTGGTGGAACAGTACCCACCTTGAAGTGTTGCTTAAGCCAGGCATGACAATCTTGAGGCTAAGAGACGCAGAAACAGTGTTTTTCTTTGTCGACGATCGAAAGCAGCTTCTGCCATCGCCATCTTCGATACCCTTCAGTGCCTTCACTCCATGCTGCTGACCCACTTAGAATGAGACTTTGGGTGTGACAATACATACCAATGAAGTTCTGAGAAAGCCACAAGGAAAGGCACCGTCAGAATCGGTGACCTACAGATGATTCACGTCATCAGAGAGAGAGAGAGAAAAAAAAAAAAGAAAAAAAAAGCAGATGCTGAAGTAGCAGAGACATCTCACATTCCGCTGTGCGAAAGAAATGCAGGAACACATATATGCTTTTAACGTTGACTCGCAGAACATGTCACTATGTGATGCATGCCTATCAATATTAGATAGGCAATGCACAGACTCTAGAGTTCACCAATGTTAAATAAAAGACTCCGGAATAGCAACGCGAACAGAAATGGGGCACTGAGAGTCCAAAACAAAGCAATGTAAAACAACGTAGCACAGCAGAAGACTCGAATCATGATCTGACTTGACCGTTACACATGTAGAGAGGCAAGGAGAACGCACATACATGGATGAAAGGTCCCTCCTTGCTCACACACACAGGGAAGGAAGAAGAACGATGAATGATGGAGGTGGGAAGAGACGAAGGTGGAGGAAGAAAGGATGCAGATAACTGCCAGTGGTCTCTCCCAACAATGTCCAACAGTCGTCTCCTTTAAAATCGTTCAGAGAGTGAGAGTGAGTGATCCAAGTGAGGAGAGTGAGTAATACAAGTGAAGAGAGACAGCGAGGCAGAGAGACAGAGGGGAGAGAGAGAACATACTTACCTGAGGGAGAGTGATGACCTGGCGACCATAGCCGCTGTCCTATGAGCTTGGAACTTGAAAGTTTTGTGGTTGGGGATTAATAATTTGTGACATTCATCGGCATCAATCTCATTTCTCTGCTGTTGAGCGTGTCTGCGTGAGTATCAGTGGAATGCATGATTGCGATGGAGTCAAAGTTGAGTCGGATCATTGCAATCGCTGCATTTGGACTGGAAGTTGCAGTAAGAATATAGCCATAATGACCAGGCATTCTATTCGGGTAAGGACGGTAGTTCTTTCCTTGCTGCAGTGATGGTCGTTCTTTCTGGCAGTTCTTTGTGGTTTGTTACCTCTCCTCTGTGGGCATCGCCACTTCACATTTCGAAAGTGGTGTGGCGACGCCCTGCGTTGGTAGATGACCACCTAGCTCTGTTATTACTTTATTAAAGGCATGGTCTAGCATGCTGGGGCCTGCTAAACAGGCCCCGAAGGACCGACTTTTGCATTTGTGCCCCCAGGCCGTGCGCCCATTTCATTTTGTGTAGCCTGGAGGGCCCCGACCATTTTTGTAGGCCTAGGTTCATTTCTGTCCCGTTTGTTATTTATACAAGGAATATGCGCGAGAGCGATAGACAGAAATACAAGTTGCAAAATCACTTAGAAGTCCAGATAGTCATGTACCAAGCAGAGAGCTCAAATGCACCAAGATTCCATCCAAATCAAGCAAAGCAGTGAACTCCTGTGCCAATGTTATCGCCCTCAGGCCCCACCAACACAGTATCCAATGTCGCTCATCTCCGTCTGGTGCCCAGCGCCCAGCCTAGTCTACTGAGCCTATCTAGCCTATCCACATTCGTGCAACAGGATCACTTCCGACGTTGAAGACCAATGTACATGACGTCAACATGAATGCCGACTTCCCACATTACACCAGGTACGTTCTCTCTCCTCCCCTCATCAGACCTTGACCACCCACTCATGCGCCTCCTACCCGAAGACCACCTTCGCCCATCACCCGCAATTGCCCCTGCAGGCCGGCTATGGCTGCCGTGCGCCCGCTGCCCTGCAGCGCTCATCTCACCTCATAGTGCCCACGTGCGCCCCAGCCAGCAGTGCACATGCAGACACTTGCGCAGCAACGCAGCAGTGTGTCGCATTGCCTGCCTAGGCCAGAATGCCCAGCCTCTGGCCAGCGACCTTCCCATATGGAAGTCGCGGCCTCTGTTTCGCTGCGTGGGCCTGGCTGAGGAAGCTCCCAGTAGCTTCCAGTCGGGCCCCAGTGTCTGCGTCCAGGCCCTCTCCGAAAGTTGGGGCCTGGGCCCTTTCTGGTTGGGCACGTCCAGGGAGCCTCCAGGCTCCAAGTGTTTGCCGTCTTCTCATTGGCTCGTTGAGCCTCTGTGACGACAATGCTGCTTTCTAATTCGTCCATGGCCACTTCGTGATGTGTCGGCCTCACACTGCGTGTGCCCAGGGCCCAACCACCCAGCCCTGGCCTCAACCGCTTGACGCAGCTGCTGTTTCTGGATGGAGCCCAGGGAGGGGCTCACGTTGCACTTCAACCAACTGGTGTGCTGCAACTGTCCGATACCCGCATTGGAAAATGCTGAGACAAGGGCCTCTTATGGATATTCAGGCCCGCCTTCACTTAGGGAGGGCATGAGGCTTGCTGGGGGCCACAGCCCAGTTCATGTGCATGTTGGCTAGGGCCCCGTGAGGGCATATTCCTCACATTTATATTTATAATTTATTTTTTTATTTTTTATTTTTTTAACCACTAGTACTTCGCCCAGTGTTGGGAAATTAGGGAAAACTGGCAGGTTTCCCAAACTCCTGAAAATTCGGAGGCCGGGCCCAACGACGGCTGCCATTGATAAATCTGATCGGCGGCCGTCGTTTCGTTTCGGCCATCCGACAAGGTCGGAGGCCCACCCGAGGCCCGCTATTTTCCCACGCGGCAAAGGTACTAGTGGTTTAACAACTCAGCCCTTCTATTCTGGGGGGCATCAGTCCGGTTGCTTATCACCGGCAAGCATGAGTTCCAAAGTACAAATTATTTGTAGGAAAGAGGAAAGCCTTATCCTTGTGGCCCTAGTCGCCTAACAAGGGGGGGGTTGCTACAACCGATCCCTCTTCCCATACCATAGCCTCCCCAGGGATACTTCTGTTGGTCGGGAGGCTTCCTAGCAGCACCCAGCCACACAACGGATGGGTCCCCAGGGAAGGCCTGGCCCGGGGGGGGCCGTTCTAGCAGTCTCACGGGCCTCACATCCTGTCAGTCACACCCTCTGTTCAACCATCTTTTTTGTACCTACTAACACTCTTTTAGTCTAGATCCTTAACTCTCGTCTAATTTTTACACCAATCTCCTTTGTCCATCCTATCAGTCACACCCTCTGTTCAATCCTCTTTTTTATAACTACTACGGTAACTACACTCTTTTAATCTAGTTACTTCCCTATACCCGGCTGCCTATTGTATGCTTAAGTCTCATCTAATTCTTACTCCTGCTCCTTTGTCTTTGCTATCACCTCTTTCCTCTTGCCCTTCCCCCCCTTCTAATCCAGGCTTTTCGAACCTGACACTTCACCCTCATTCTATTTACACCGCCCTCTGGTTTTACAGCCATTCTAAAACCAGTAGCCCTCCCTTATTTTAAAAGGTTTAAGTCCTGGATTGATGAACATACTGCTGGGGATAAGACTATAAATTTTATTTTACTTTCCAGTATGCATTTACTTATCTGATGCTTGATTTTTGTTTGGGACTGACTCTTTGTGTTGGTCTGACTTGTGTCTGTTCCAGATAGTGATGTCTCAACAGGCACTGTTGTTTGGACCAGTGGATTATATTTTTCGCCGTTGGTCAGGTTCATTTATTTTTGCCCGCATCTGGACTGGACCAGGCACTTGTCCACTTAGGACCAGCCCTGCTGCATCAGCAGGGCCGCCAGGATTTCCGGTAGTAACCCAGGCAGGCCGAGTTAGGCCAGAGGTGCAGGAACGGGAGTTGGGGCTGCAATCAGGACCATCAATCAGGCTCTAGATCGAACAGTCACGATTGCAGACCAAAGGGCAGCACAGCCAGGCTCGGCGGTATATAGCTGGGCCGGTCCTCCAGTTTGAGGACAGAGTGCTGGAGCACCAGTTGCACGTCACGCTGCTGGATTGCACCGCTATTCTGGGAGAGCTGCACTAGAGTAGCAGCATAAAGTCGAAGAGTAGTCTGAAGAGGACAGGCTGGAGGAGTCTAGACTCTATAGCCATGAGGGTAAGAGAGACTTACCTGGGAGCCATATCTGAGACTTCACACCGCTCTGGGATTAGCCTTCATCAGGGACCTGCATCAGCGCAAGTCATCACCGTTCGCTGGTCAGTATGCGTGGGCATCATTATCATCATCATCATCATCATCATCATCATCATCATCAGGGGAGAATGAGAGGAGAGTTCTTATTATTATTATTATTATTATTATTATTATTATTATTATTATTATTATTATTATCCTCCTTTTCGACCTTGGCAGGTATGTACAGCTTGAGGCCTGAGGCTAAGTACCTGGCTGCAACTTCCAGGTGCAGCACACAGGTCCACCACTCTCTTAGCCCCGTTAAGGATATCGAATTCTTTGTCAATCTGAAGCAGCTT